TCCCTAAAAGGGCCTGAAATCATCCTACTCCATTTCAGCCCTCATACACAGTCAATAAATAAGCATACACTCCTGATTCAAGCCCAGTATACATGTCTCTATTTCTGACCTTGGAAATCTAAAAGGGCACTATCTGTGCCTTCTCTTCTTTGCTTACCAGCTGATTAAACAACACGTGAATACACAACACATTCTACCCCATGGGAACACAGACAGATTGTCCTTGGGTTTGCAGTTGCTCAAAAACATATGGGAATCTCCCTAAGGCAGGCTGTCACATTGCCCCAGGCCTTCTGTGTTCTGTTTCTTTGACTTTGCCTCGTGACCCAACGGACATGTTATTCCAAAGAAAATAGCTTTATTCCTGATTATTGTCTGCTTCGTGGATTGGTCTGAGATGGTGGTTTCCCAGAGGCTCAGGAGGCTGCATTTTTCTTAGAAAGGATTCACAAATGGTTGAGGAATTGGGACCAGATAACCTTCAAAATTGTTCTTACTCTGAGGTTCTACTGAACACCCTCTGGAGGCAGGCTTTTCACCATACCATCTTACAGTCAGCTGGCTCACAGGAAATGGTGAAGCTGTATCAGATGTTGGTCTCCATGCCTATCATCACACCAGGCCACCGAACTTCTTCCACTGAACTCCTCTAGCACTTATTGACTGTAACATCGTGGCAAATGGCATAGGCTGCCTGGTGATTTCTTTATCTTCTTGTGGAACTGTCCACTAAACATCTACATTTGAATAACTAATAGAGATCTCAAACTCAACTTGTTCAAAAATAGAACTCCTGACTCTTATTCACTATCCCCAACCTGCTCCCCCATTTCAGTAAATGACAAATCTGTTCTTCCAATTTCTACTTCAAAAACCATGAGGTCATCCCTGGCCACTCTTTCTTTCAGACCCTTAATCCAATCCATCAACTAAATTTGTCCACTCTGCCTTCAAAACAGATCCAGAGCCTGATCTTTCCTTGGCCCTTTAATAGCTATCGCACTGCTCTGAGGCACCATCTCACCTGGATTACTGGATAATTGCCTCCAAATCAGTTTCCTTCTACTCTTGCCCCTCAATCTAATCCACACAGTGGCCTGATTAATCTTTTTACACAATAAGTCATGTCATGTCACCCCTCTGCTCAAAATCTTCCACTGGTTTCCCTTCTCAGATTAAAAGCCACATACCTGCACAATGATCTATAAGGCCCTAAGAAGTCTGGCCTCCCACTACGTCTCTAATGTTATCTTCTGTCATCCTCCTCCTTACTCATTTTGCTCTAGCCACACTGGCCCTCTTTCAATTCTTCAATCATATCAAGCACACAGATGCCTTAGGCCTTTGCACTTGCTATTCCTTCTGCCTAGAATACTCTTCCCAGAGATAATCTGTTCCCTCATTTCCTTCAGTATCTCCTGAAATGTAATCTTATCAGAGAGGCCTTCCCAGATCCCCCTGCATAAAATAGCAAGGCTCCATCCCACCCCAAACTGGCAACTGCCCTCCTTTACCCTGACATATTTTCTCCATAGCACTGATTATTACCTGATATAATATAAATTTACTTGATTTTATTTTCTGCTTCCTCCCCCCACAAGAATACAAGTTCCATGAGGGCAGGAACTCTATTTTGGATCACTATCTAGGTTTTTGCCTGACAAGCAAGAGGTGCTCAATAAATATCTGCATAATAAATTAACTAATCTGTCCTATTCCTCCCCCTAACCTATAAACTCCTAATAGAGAGAAACTTATCTATCTTCATCTTTGTGTTCCTAGCACCTAGACTGTGTCCTGAACACAGCAAATGTTCAAATGTTTGCCATAACTAGGATGCAATCACAGCCCTGGAAATCTTCAGTTTGTGCCAGATCCTGATGTTATACTGGTATTTCATGCTCCTTTTCTAAGGCTCCAAAGCTCTCTAGCCCAAGACTTGTGGCATTATGGTCGTCTTGTGGCAATATGAATGGCTAATCAATAGGGCACCAACCAGAGCTGCTCTAATTGACAGAGATTCAGATCAGGTATTTCATGGTCAGTTTGCATCACTGTGTTCGACCATCCTTCCCCTGGCCTTCATTCCTAATTCTTATCAGTTTTGCTAAAGCATTTGGTTATAAACAGAATAACTCATGGGGGAAAGAAAAACTTCCTCTATTTCCAGACAAGTAAGGATATGGCCTAATGAATATATGGTCAGTAATAACATCATATAGGAAAAACAGTATATTATCACATGATATGACTGTTTTTAAAAATTAAAAAGTCCTTAGCACAATGAGAAGAACTTTTATGAACCTGGTAGCTACAAGAGAAAGTACAATAGATAAAACTCTAAGAATGAAGACATTTTTCTCCGGCTTCATCATTTTTTAAAAAAATAATAAATCAAATGGAATATCATTAAACTTATGCTCTGGATTTAATCTAATACAGATTTAAAAAATACAAGATTAAAGGATAAACAAAATAAGAGAGCCGGACATAAGAAATGATTAATTTCCACAGCAGACTTTCTAGCAGCCAACTCCACCATATAGGAATAGGGTGAAAGCACTTTCCTGGGGCCAAGAGAACATGACCACCTTTGATTGCCAATGGGTGCCCTTTTGCCAATCCAGAAAGGGCTGATAGGTTTGTATCAAACGGTGAACTTTACAAAAACAGCATGGTAAGAGGTAGATTATTCAGAAAACCCAGCTGAATAATTCAAATATAAGTTACTTGTATGAGGAAAAACAACCCACAATCTTCACACTGACTCAAATCCCAGAGTCAGTTAAAACTAATTTGTCCTCTCCCTCTGGTGCCATCCCTCCCTTTTCTTGTCCCCCTTCTATTGAGACTGTACTATCAACTACTTTAAATAAGAACTAATTAACTAAATCTAGCATCCTCCAAATTTCACTCCCAGTGAGAGAAAATAGAGTCAACACTGGTCTATCTTACCTGATGTATTTATAAAATGAAGGGATAAGACTGTACTTCTAAGGACATTTCTAAGATTGTACTGAGGCTGCAACATCAGTCCCAAGAGAGCTTAACCATGCTGCCTCACCCCAGCACTTGCAGATCTCCTAAACCTATGACAGTCTGCCTTGGTTTCTGTGACCTGTTCTGGCTCTTCTGTGCAATTACTTGCACATAAAAGGTGTTAGAACAGTGGGGTGGGGGGATCACCTCCATGACAATGGAGTATAGAAAGTGTGAACCATGGTTCAGGGCTTCACAGTCGACTGCTATGTGTCACAACCATGGCAATACCCTACCTCTTGAGGATGCTTCCTCTTTGCAGCCTGCTGCCTATGCTCTATGCTATCAGCACCTGGTGGCTAAACTGAAGCAAACTGGAGTCATGAAAGCAGATGGAATTCTTCTTACATAGCACGTAGTAGTTATAAGGAATCCTAGACAGAAGGATGCAGAAGTAATTCTTCAAGGCTAGGGAACTCCTTGACGACCCAGAACAAACAAATGTCTATATCTTAAATCCGGCATGAAAAAAGTCCACATTTTAATTCTTCTAATACTTCCCTCTTTATTGACTTGGCCTGAAGGAAAGAAGACATGGACCTGATTTGCTAGATGAACTTAGATAGCTTTAAAGTGAGAGAAGGGAAGAGACAGTTATCTCTTTTGTAGGAATACATTTCAGTCACTCATCGGTCTGGGTTATCATGAATCAGACCGACTATCCTGTGGCTTCTGCAGAAAAAAATAACTTTTTAAAAACAGAGGAAGATAACTGGAGTAGACATCCCCTGCACATAAGTAACTAAAGGCAGGGAGGGAAAATCTGATATTGGTATCTGCGTGTCATTAGAACTGTTAAAAAAATAAAATAAAAAGGAAGGGGATGCAGAAGCTCTGCCCTTCATTGCCATCCTGGAGTCAGAAATGGCAATTTCAGTGAACCAGGGCTGACAAAGGCATCCAAAATTAAATGTTTCAAAAGCTCAAAATAAAAATACTAGAAAAATTATGCACAGCACCTATTTCACATGTAAGAGACACTTAATATTTCATAAATCACTGCCCAGATGAATAATAAAGTAAATTGTGAAATTCAAAAAAACAACTACAAGAAAACTCCAGATAAAACAAAAAGCTAAACATAAATTTGGCCCAGCACCACTGCAATGACTGTGGGATGAGAGTCAGATATAGTTCTTTATACTGGTAACCCTTTGCCATCCATCCTTATTCTACAGACAGGACGGTATAGTCTTTGAACCCAGGCCCCCAGTCTGGGGCTTCTCCCACTTAACGCCAAGAACAACACTGCTAGAAAAAAGAAAAAAAAAAAAAAAAGCAAAAAACAAAAAACCTCTGCACTAGCCCCAGCTCCACACATTAGGTGGTCAGTGAGACGGAGCAGCCTGGTTTCCTCCCTTTACCCTCTCCTTGTGTGTAGGGCTGGAGGAGGAGAGGTGAGAACAATGAAGAGATGTTTGGGGTTCGGGAAGTCCGACCCCTTTTCTCTCTTCCCTCTCAGGATGGAAGGGCAAAGGTAGCCAATACCAAAACCAAACAAGATTTTGCATAAGGGGACAATGGATTCAACAAAAGTCAAGTGGATAAGGTGACTGTCAAGAAACCTCCTTTCCACTTCTTTCTCTTGCCTTCTCACAAACCCGTTAGGAGTCACCTCTGTCTGGGTTATAGGACCGGCCACGCAGCGGGAGCTGCTTTTGATGCGAGACTCAAGCCCCATGAACTAAATTCGGTATAAGGGAAAGGAAAGGAAACCTCAGGGCAGGGCAGGGTCTCTTCCTTCTAGAGAGACACGAAGGGAGGAGGCAGAGCTAGAAAGGCTACGACGGATGGGGAGGAATCCGTGACACCGAGACAGCGGACAGCGACGGGCCGGTGACTCAGTGAAAGCGGCAATGGTCGGGCTGGGGAGACGGCTCGGCGCAAACGTGACGGGGCCCGCGAGGGCCGGGGCGAGAGCGGCGGCGGGGATCCCGAGGGGCGCGGCCGCGGGGGCTCACCGTGTCCTTGGAAGAGCCCAGCTTCTTGAGGCCATCCAGGGGCAGCAGGTCGGCGGAGTCCTTGTGGATGAACTGCACAGCCTGCTTCATTCGGCGCTGCTGTCGCAGCGACGCCGCCTCCCGCATGTCGGTGTCCTTGCGGCCGCCCTCGGTGAGGAGCCCTGAGTAAAACATCGCTGAGGAGCCCGCCGCTTGCCGCCCCCCAGCGCGCTCAGCCTCGAGCTCCTCCAGCGCCGCAAGCGCCGCGCGCCTTTTATAGCCGAGCGTGACGTCACGGGGAGCAGCCAGTGCGCGCACGGGGGGCGGGGCCGGCACAGCGCCCCCGCCCGGGGCCAGGCTGCCCTGCTGCCGGCGTCCGCTGCCCACCGCGGCGCCACCCCAACCCAGGGGAAAGCGGACGAGGAGGGGACGGCGCTGGTGCGACTGTCCGCAACGGCCGCTTCACCCAACCGTACCCTCCCGTGTGGGTGCCCTGCACCCCTGGACGGGGATGGGCTGTGGGGCCCAATGCCCGAGCAGCCTCTCCCACCCCAGCCGCCGCCCCCTGGGTCCCGCTCACCTGTCCACGCCGTGGCTGACCCGGGGATCACCGACAGCCGGGCCATGCCCCGAGTCCCGCCGCCCGCGCCGCTGCTCGCCTTCACAGATCCGCACCTCCGCGCACCCTCCCGCAGCCCCCGACCACAGCCCGGGCACTGGAGGACGGGCGGCGAGCTCCGAAGTTGGGAGAGCTCTGGATTTCTCCAACTTCAGGTCGGTCCCCACCCACTGGGCCACGTGACTGGGGAGGGGGCAGCCTCTCGGGGACCCTCCTCCTCCTGGCACCCTCTGCTCCAGCCCGGCCAGTGCTACCGAGCACCGTCGGAAGCCAGCGGGTCCGCCCGGCTTGGGGAGTGAGGAGGGTCTTCGCCCCCGCGAGATTGCACACGACGGCGAGCCCTACACCTTGCTCTTTGGAACTCCGACAGAAAAGCACCTGTTTTTCTCAGCAGACTCTAGGGCTTACCGTCGAGAGGGTCTTTCACCCGTCTCTCCAGCATTTTTGTGGGAGCAATTGGAACCCGCTTTTCTTCGTGAATCATTATATTTTCAAGATATTCTAATGGGGCCTTTAAGCTCCTGGATTCTGGTCTAGACGTTGTGACTTGGTACAAACTATGTTTCCACCTTGGGAACCATCACATCTACTCTCTCCACCCCATCTCACAGGAACAGGCATGAATCAGAAAGATCTGCACTCTGAAGAGAACCAACAGGACAAGTAACAATAACGACATTTATTGAGCCTTTACTATGTGCCAGGTACTGTAATAAACACTTAAAATGCAGTATCTCATTGAATCCTGGCAACAGCTTAGGAGACAGTATCATCATTAACTCCATTTTATAGACGAATGTCTGAGACCTCCTAACTGGCCTCCTGAATGCCCCCTCCCCTGGTTCCCTTCCAATCCGTTGTTTTTCTCAAACTACCAGTGATCATCTCACCTCCCTGCATAGAGCACCTCCAAAGCCTTCCTCTTGCTCTTGAGAGAAAAACCCACATTCTTGCATGGTCTACTCCCACCTGTCTCTCCTCTCTGTACTTCAGCCTCATCGGCCTTCTTCCAGTTCCTTGAAGGAGCCATTCTCCCTCTTGCCTTTGAACACCCTGTCCCCACTGCATGGAATGCCCCTCCTACCCTCTGTGGTAAATTCCTATGCTTCTTCCAGACTTCAGTTCCATTATCTTTTTTAGGAAGCCCTTCTCTGACCTTCCAGAGAAGGTGAATTCTCCTTAATTATATGCTATGTATCTCCTGGATATTTCACTTTGTATGTGTGTAGGGAGCGAGGGTTGGGGGATGGGTTCTGGTTGTTTGATTAACATTCCTCTTTCTCACTGATTGTAAACTCCAAGAAGGTGACTGAGTCGTTTTTTGCTTATCATTGGATGCCTAATACATAGAAGGCTGTCAATAAACACGAGTTTAAGTATGGCGAAAAGTTAAGGCCATGCCCAGGGAAAACAAGTGGTAGAGCTGGGTGGGGTCTGCTCCTAGAACCTGTGCTGGAATTCCCAGACCTTGAAGGACTGGGTTTGACCTCAGGAACCTGCTTCTTTCCCTCTGTTCTTGCTCCAGTTTTGAAGAGCATAGACTGCTCATGGGAAAACAAATCCATAAGACCCCTCACCTGGCTTCAAGGAAGCCCCAGGGCTGGGTTCCTCCCTGCTTCCTCACTCCCATGTCCCCCTTCCCAGGCAGGGTCTCAAGGAGACAGGTGGGATTGCTGCTCACCTTCCAGTCCCCTGGCATACTTCCAGCAGTGAACAACAGTGGGGCTGCCCTGGCCCCTTCTGTTCCATTGCCTGGATCCTTGCCTGGTCGCTCCTTCAGGTGCAGGTCACCCAAGGAACAGTGAAAGACAGCTTTGCCTTGTCTCTCTCAGACAGGTGCATCTGAGCTTGGCAAAGCATCAGAACAGGCCCAAAAGTGAGGGCACTTGGGACTTGGGCTGGGACAGCTACTTTCCTCAGGGAGGAAGCCAGACAGGGAGAAACTCTGAGGGAGGAGTTGGAATCCCTTTCCCCAGGCCACTCAGCTCAGTCCAGCAGCCTTATTCACTGAGGATGTCCTGACAGAAGAAAGGGACTATTTTCATAGCTAGATCTCCTGGGAACACCAGGAAGCTGAATCTCTCTGGTCTAACTGGAATTTGGCCATATCAAGTGTTGCTGAAAAATAAATGTGGCCTTGCTGGAGCTGGGAATCTTTTTGTCAATTCAGAGCTCTTTGCTGTAGTGGGATTTGTGTTTTGCAATTGGATCTGTGGCCATAATACTGGTAGGTCCCCTCACATGTCAGAGGCCCTCCTCAGCTAGACTGATACCATCACTGCCCTTAAGCGTGGGTCAGTGTGGTGAAGTCAGCTCCCTCCCACCCCCTACTCTGCACATACATGATAGTTTCTGAAGACAGACTGGCTGTTCACTTTCAGGAGGGTCACCTTTGGGTGGTTGATCCAATTTGCCCAAATGACTTTGAGCAAGTCACTTCCTACCTCTGAGCCTTAGTTTCCGTATCTGTAAAATGGACATAGTGAGATTGCATGTACAATTGTGCTTTGTAAACTCTCAAGGGTTGTACCCACAGAAAAGATTATTATGAATTCTCCATGTAGTCAACCTCCCCTGCCCCATTGACCCATCTTAAAGGAGGTAAAATATAGTGGATAGAAGAACAGGTTTTGGAGTTCAATACATTAGGTTTGAATCCCTGCTCTGTCACTGATCAGTAAGTTACTTCACCACCATGAGCTTTCAGTTCCTCATCTAGAAAATGGTGCCAGTAATATCTCTACCTCTCAGGGGTGCTATGAGGATTAAATGAAATAATACACAGTGTACATTGTCTGACATGTAGCATGGGCTCAGCAGAAGGTAGCTGCCATCCGTACCTGGGACAGCCTCAGGAATACCTGTAGGTTACCATGCCCTCAGAGGGGGCCTGGTCTTTGCTTCCTCCAAGCCTCCTTATAGAGCTCCAGGCACAAAAGACAGACCTAAGCATCTTACTCCTTCCCTGCAGCTGTGGCCTCCTGAGACAAGGCCTGGCCAGCTCTCTTCCTCTCCCAGATGTCTCTGGATTTTGGATTTACCATGACAAGTGGCTCTGTTCTAAAGTTCTCTACATCCTACCTTGGCTGTTTTAGAGGATCTGTACTTGAGAATCATACTAGACAAGCCACTGCTGTTTCAGTTTGGATTTTATTCATGTTATTCTACTGAGAAGTGACAGAAACTCAATTGAAAATTTCTTAAACAAAAATGCAATTTTTTGGTTCACTTAATTAAAAAGTACAGGAGTTTCAGCCATGGCTGGATCCAAGGGCTCAAATGACATTATCACTGTGTTTCAGTTCTGCTTTCCTCTGAGCTGATGCCCTTTTTGCCGGCTCTTCCTAGCTGATGTCTGTCAGCAGATTTAGGCTTACAAACTACTCTCCCAGCAACCCTCCTTTGGGTCTCCACCTAACAGGGAGGCTTCTGAGAATGGGATGTAGGATGAGTATTGGAGCTGGGGAAATAGAGGAGAAGAGCAGAGGTGAAAGGGGAGACTGCCAAGGAATTTCCATCCCATTTCTCTTCCCATCCATGCATATTGCCCTTGGCCATACACTGGAAGTTAGAATGGCCGCTCACTACCCCCATCCTTATAGCTGCAGAGCCCCTGTGCTCCTCCGATGTCCTCCCCACCAGCCTTATGCTCTTTGCCAGGCAGATTCCTCAAACAGTTGTCTGCTGCAGGTGCCAGATGTGTGCCAGGATCTCTGGCAACATGGTGCCTATGACTTATCTCTAGTCTTGAAAGCTGTGTCTACTTTGGCAGGTTAAAGCAAAGACAAGAGATATTTCTGTCTTCTTCCTTCAGAGTGATTCCCAGCATCACCATGACCTGAAAAACTAGGGCTGATAGCAGCCCCACTGCTGTTTTCCAAAGTTAACTGTGTCTTTTGGATCCATTCCTGTCAGCAACAATTTGGTTTCATTTTGGGGGATGAGGACAGGCTTTGACCTCAAATCACACAGCATATGAGGAGAAGAAGGGGAAAAACGTCTCAGTATCTGAAGGAAGAGTATCTGGTGGGAGTTGGCGGGGTGGGGGGAGCCTAGGCTTAGCTTTGAATCTGGCTCTGCCCCTTGCTTGCTGTGGGGCCTTGGCCAAGTTACCAAAGCTCTCTGAGCCTCAGTTTACCCATCTTGCAGGGCTCTGTTCAGTTTAAATAAGATAATATGTAAAGTACAGGGCCTGGCATGAAGTGAGCCCCTAATAAGTATGAGTGCTATTCCTCCTTCCTTCCCTTCTCCAACATAGGTAGAGAACCTGGAAAAGGAGTGGCCCTCCTGAGGCCAGTGGAGAACACTTCAGTATGGAAATAAGACCTCTGAAGATGGCAAGCCTCTCGGAATACAGTGAAGCCTAGGCCTGACCTGCCTGTTCTGTATCTCTTTATGTCAATCCCAGCCAGAGGGGAAAAAGCCTGCAGGGCAGCTCACACCGGTAGCCACTGTCTACCTTAGGGCCTTCCCTTCTCCAACATAGGTAGAGAACCTGGAAAAGGAGTGGCCCTCCTGAGGCCAGTGGAGAACACTTCAATATGGAAATAAGACCTCTGAAGATGGCAAGCCTCTCGGAATACAGTGAAGCCTAGGCCTGACCTGCCTGTTCTGTATCTCTTTATGTC